GGACTTCAAACATAGGCCTCCAAAGGAAACCTCTCTCTCCTTGCAACTGGACTTCTTCCCTCCTTGCACCAAAAGGGACACTACAAATCCCATCAGGACCCACCTATATCTACCAAGATTTATAGTGAACCCCAATAAATCAATCCAAGGTAACCAATGGCCTTCAAAGGAAGCCCCCTCTCCTTGCTCCTTCCTTGCACCAAAAGGGACACTACAGATTCCATCAGCCATACTACAAATCCCATCAGGACCTCCCCAAACACCTCTGTCTACCAAGCTTTTTACTGACACCTTATTGAGCACCCCAATAAATCAATCCAAGGTAAGTAGGGACTTCAAACATAGGCCTCCAAAGGAAACCCCTCTCTTCTTGACTTCTTCCTTCCTTGCACCAAAAGGGACACTACAGATCCCATCAGGACCTCCTTATAGCTAACAAGACCACCCTATGAACCACTGAACCCCAATAAATCAGAGCAAGGTAAGTAAGGACTTCCACCATAGCCTTGCAAAGGGAACCTGTCCCTCCATCCACTCCATATCAAGGCAGAAAAGGCACTACAGATCCCATCAACCCCTTGACACCCCCCCTCCATAAATCTATCATCGTTTAAGAATTAACCACTGAACCCCAAAACTTTTCAATCCAAGGCAAGTAGGCACTGCAATATTATTATTATTATTATTATTATTATTATTATTATTATTAACTTTATTTGTACCCCGCTAGCATCTCCCGAAGGACTCGATGTGGCTTACACAGGCCGAAGCCTCAGAACACAATACAGTAAAAACATAACACAACAATAAACAAAGCAAATCAAATAGTTAAGCAAAATAACAGCAACAATAACAATACATCAAGACACTTTAAAACTGGGCCGGCCAGCGCAATGGGGTACAGGGTTAAAAGTGCTGGAGTGGCAGGAGGAACATAGGATTAAAAATAGTGCAGTGTGCAGTAATATTAATTGTACTAAAGTGCTTCTAGGACTTGGGATGGGGGATTCCTAATCTGAGAAGGCACATCGGAACAGCCAAGTTTTTAGGTTCCTTCTGAAAACTGCTAAAGTAGGGGCCTGTCGGAGATCTTTTGGAAGGGCATTCCAAAGTCGGGGGGCCGCCACAGAAGGCCCTGTCTCAAGTCCCTAGCAAGCGTGCTTGTGACGCAGGCGGGATCATGAGCAGGCCCTCCCCAGATGACCGAAGCGATCGCGTGGGTTCGTAGACGGAGATGCAGCCACGCAGGTAGGGTGGTCCCAAACCGTTCAGGGCTTTGTAGGTGAGCACCTGCACCTTGAATTGGGCTCGGAAAATAAATGGCAGCCAGTGGAGCTCCTTAAACAGAGGGGTAGACCTCTCTTGATAATGAGCCCCGGTTAGCATCCTGGCTGCTGCCCGCTGGACCAATTGAAGTTTCCGAGCCGTCTTCAAGGGAAGCCCCACGTAGAGCGCATTGCAGTAATCCATTCTAGAGGTGACCAAGGCATGGACCACCCCGGCCAGATCAATAAGGAAGGTCCTCTCTTCTACCCCATATCAAGACAGAAAAGGCACTACAGATCCCATCAGGGCCACTCCCTGGCTATAAGAGCCCCCTCTTCATTCATCTACTGTATAATTGAAGAAATAAGCATTGAACCCCCAGAATTATCAGTCCAAGGCAAGTAGGAGCGGCAATAAGGGAAGCCCTTCTGCTTCCTGACTTAGGACTCTCTGAGCCCCCTCCTCACACAGAAAGGGGCACTACAGATCCCATCAGGACCCCTTTGTAACCACCCTATTAAGCATTGAACCCCAATAATTCAGACCAAGGTAAGGGGGGACTTCCACGATATTCCCCTTTCCTTCCACCCCATATCAAGACCCCCTCATCACTGCCAAAAGGTATACTACAGATCCCATTAGGAGAACCCACCCACCCCCCTTGGCTATAAGATCACCTCCACTGATTCCCATGACGTATTGAACCCTACCAAAAAATCAGTCCAAGGCAAGTTGGGCCCTCTTCTCCTTCCAGTCCTCTCAATACCACTGCAGGTCCCATCATCCACCCCATTAAGACCTCATATTGGAGAATGGACCCCAAGTTTCCCCCAAAAAGGTGGGAACAAGAATAGCACCCACCAAATAAAGGGGATAGCCTTCGATTTCTTTTCTCCACACCCCAAAAAGGGGCCACTGCAGGTCCCATCATCCTAATAACATTGCAGTATAGTTGTATACTACAATATGGTAATATATTATACTAATATTGTGGTAGGATAATAATTTAACATATTGTATATACATATAATATTTATAATATTATAATATAATACTAATAATATTATAATATAATAATACAGTATAATAATATATATTAATATTGTGCAATGCTAATAATATATTGTATATACATATATTAATAATACAATATAATAATATATAATAATATTATGCTGTGCTAATAATATATGGTATATACATATAATATTGATATTATTGTAATATAATACAATATAATACAAACACTATTATATATAAGGATATTGTGCTATGCTAATAATATAATATATTGTATATGCATGTTATATTGATAATATTGTAATATACTACAATAATAATATTAATAATACAATATAATACGTAATAATATTGTGCTTGCTAATAATGTATTGTATATACATATAATACTTATAATACTTATAATATAATGCAACACAATAATTATACAATATAATATAAAATAACATTGTCCTGTGCTAATAATGTATTGTATATAGATATAATATTGATGTTGTAATGTAATACAATATAATACCAATAATAATACACTATTATATGTAATAATATTGTGCTGTGCTAATAATATATTGTATATATATATAATATTGATATTATTGTAATATAATACACTATAATACTAATACACTATTATATATATGAATATTGTGCTATGCTAATAATATTAATAATACAATACAATAATACATAATAATATTGTGCCGTGCTAATAATGTATTGTATATACATATAACACTTATATTATAATATAATGCAATACAATATTAATTATACAATATAATATATAATAATATTATGCTGTGCTAATAATATATTGTATAAACATATAACATTGATAATAATATTGTAATATACTACAATATTAATAACACAATATAATAATATTATATAATAATATTGTGCTGTGCTAATAATGTATTGTATACACATATAATATTGATATTGTAATGTAATACAATACTAATAATAATACACTGTTATATATTATAATATTGTGCTATGCTAATAATATATTGTATATGCATATAATATTGATAATAATATTGTAATATAATACAATATAATATTAATAATACAATATAATAATATATTATAATATTGTGCTATGCTAATAAAATATTGTATATACATATAATATTGATATTATTGTAATGTAATACAATATAATACTACTAATAATACACTATTATATATAATATTGTACTATGCTAATAATATATTGTATATATATATATAATATTGATAATAATATTGTAATATAATACAATACAATATTAATAACACAATATAACAATATGTTATTATAATATTGTGCTGTGCTAATAATATATTGTATATACATATAATATTGATATTATTGTAATATAATACAATATAATACTAATAATAATACACTATTATATATAATATTGTACTATGCTAATAATATATTGTATATATATATATATAATATTGATAATAATATTGTAATATAATACAATATAATAATATATTATAATATTGTGCTATGCTAATAAAATATTGTATATACATATAATATTGATATTATTGTAATGTAATACAATATAATACTACTAATAATACACTATTATATATAATATTGTACTATGCTAATAATATATTGTATATATATATATAATATTGATAATATTGTAATATAATACAATACAATATTAATAACACAATATAACAATTTGTTATTATAATATTGTGCTGTGCTAATAATATATTGTATATACATATAATATTGATATTATTGTAATGTAATACAATATAATACTACTAATAATACACTATTATATATAATATTGTACTATGCTAATAATATATTATATATATATATATATAATATTGATAATATTGTAATATAATACAATACAATATTAATAACACAATATAACAATATGTTATTATAATATTGTGCTGTGCTAATAATATATTGTATATACATATAATATTGATATTATTGTAATATAATACAATATAATACTAATAATAATACACTATTATATTGATAATATTATTGCAATATACAACATAATATTAATCATACAATATAATAATATTGTGCTGTGCTAATAATATAATATATTGTATATGCATATACTGATAATATTATTGTAATATAATACAATATAATAATAACACAATATAGTAATATTGTACTTTGCTAATAATATACTGTATATACGTATAATACTGATAATATTATAATATAACGCAATATAATATTAATAATAATAATACAATATAATATTGTGGTAGGCTAATAATATAATATATATTTAATTACTACTAAATTATAATTATAATTAAATTAAAATATTAGGGAATGGGCCCAAATTCATCCCAAAGAATAACAGTAGTCGTTGCCCCCCCCAAAAGGTGAATAATAATAATAATAATAATAATAATAATAATAATAAATCCCTAATCTGGGGAAAAGGGGGGGGGGACTACAAATCCCATCAGCCACCCACTAAGGCCATATTGGACAATGAGCTTGAAGTTACCCCAGAGAGAGAGGAGAGAAAGGAGAACAGGCCCCAAGAAGAGGAAATAAGCCTTCTTCCCTGACAAAGGCCACTCCAAGTCCCATCATCCCCACACCAGGAATCCTCTAGCGCCCACCCCCCATTAAAAGAGACCCCCCCCCCCCTTGAAGAGAGCTGTCAATTGGACAGGGAGGGCGGGGTGAAGGGCGTCCTGCTCACCTTCTCCATGGTGGCCCTCCCTCCTTCCTCCCTTTGTTGCCCTCCTTCCCCTTTAAGACGAGGGGCGCAGCGCCGCAAGCGGGGCCCAGGCCAGGCGGAGGAGCGAGGCCGGCAACGGAGAAAGGCGTCCGCTGGGTCCTGCCGCCTCCCGGTTCACTCTCTCTCTCGGCCGAGAGGAAAGCGGAGGCGCCCCACACTCATCCTGCGCTACGCTAGAGAGGGACTCTCTCTCCGCGCATGCGCACACGGCGCAACCTGATGAGCCATAGCTCCGCCCAGGAGAGAGCAGGGAATAGAGGTCGAGCTTGGCTGGGCTTCGCGCCACACTTCCGGTTCCCATGCGAAAGGCGCCCCTTTGGAATGGCAAGGGGAGAAAAAGAAAGGCAGTGCAATATGTACTGTACTGTTCTGTACTATTTATCTATCTCTAATGTAATATTTATTATATAATATAATTTATATAATATACATTAATATATTATAGATTATATATTAGTATAATAAAACAAAATAGTATATAATATAATATATATGCATAATATATAATTGTACTTTATATAATACAATTATATATATATATATATGATATAATGGAGACAGGAAAGCCTAGAGAAGACAATTATGCTGGGGAAAGTGGAAGGCAAAAGGAAGAGGGGCCGACCAAGGGCAAGATGGATGGATGGCATCCTTGAAGGGACTGGACTGACCTTGAGGGAGCTGGGGGTGGTAACGGCCGACAGGGAGCTCTGGCGTGGGCTGGTCCATGAGGTCACGAAGAGTTGGAGACGACTGAACGAATGAACAACATGATATAATGGACTGATGAGGCCAACCACATGCATCCTGGACCCCTGCTCATCCTGGCTTCTAAAGGAGGCCAGAGGGGGATTGGCTGAGTGGGTTAAGGTGGTGGTTAATGCTTCCCTTCAGGAAGGCAAGATTCCAGCGAGCCTAAAGCAAGCTATAATAAAACCGCTGTTGAAGAAACCATCACTGGACCCCACTAAATTCGACAACTATCGGCCAGTTTCCAATCTCCCCTTCTTGGGCAAAGTCTTGGAACGTGTGGTGGCCTCACAACTCCAGACATTCTTGGTAGACATGGATTATCTAGACCCAGCACAGTCTGGCTTTAGGCCGGGACATGGTACCGAGACAGCCTTGGTCGCCTTAGTGGATGATCTGCGCCGGGAGCTCGACAGGGGGAGTGTGTCCCTGTTGGTGCTGCTGGACCTCTCAGCGGCCTTCGATACCGTTGACCACGGTATCCTTCTAGGACGCCTCGTGGGGATGGGTCTTGGAGGGACTGTTTTGCAGTGGCTCCACTCATTCCTCGAGGGCCGGTCCCAGAAGGTGTTGTTGGGGGACACCTGTTCAACCCCACAACCATTGTCTTGTGGGGTTCCTCAGGGCTCAATATTGTCTCCCATGTTGTTTAACATCTACATGAAGCCGCTGGGGGAGATCATCCGGAGTTTCGGAGTGCGATGTCATCTGTACGCGGATGATGTCCAACTCTGTCACTCCTTCCCACCTGCTACTAAGGAGGCTGTCCAGGTCCTGAACCGGTGCTTGGCCGCTGTTACGGTCTGGATGGGGGCGAACAAATTGAAATTGAATCCAGACAAGACAGAGGTACTCCTGGTCAGTCGCAACGCCAAACAGGGCACAGGGTTATAGCCTGTGTTGGATGGGGTTACACTCCCCCTGAAGACGCAGGTTCGCAGTTGGGGTGTGATCCTGGACTCATCGCTGAGCCTGGAACCCCAGGTTTCGGCGGTGACCAGGGGAGCATTTGCACAGCTAAAGCTTGTGCGCCAGCTGCGCCCGTACCTTGGGAAGTCTGACTTGGACACGGTAGTCCACGCTCTGGTTACATCCCGTTTAGACTACTGCAACGCTCTCTACGTGGGGTTGCCTTTGAAGACAGCTCGGAAGCTCCAACTAGTCCAACGCTCGGCAGCCATGATTTTAACAGGAGCGGAGCGCAGGGAGCATACAACCCCCCTGTTGCGCCAACTCCACTGGCTACCGATCTGCTACCGGCTCAATTCAAAGTGCTGACGTTGGCCTTTAAAGCCCTAAACAGTTCCTGCCCAAGCTACCTATCCGAACCTCATCTCTGCCTATGAACCCACCAGGACTTTGAGATCTTCCGGGGAGACCCTGCTCTCGATCCCGCCTGCTTCTCAAGCTCGGCTGGCGGGGACGAGAGATAGGGCCTTCTCGGTGGTGGCTCCTCGGCTGTGGAACGCCCTTCCTACGGACATTAGACTAGCACCATCTCTCATGGTATTCCGCAAAAAGGTGAAGACCTGGATGTTTGTGCAGGCGTTTGAGTAATTTAGTGCAATCTGGTAATGGAACATAGGAATGGAACAATGGACGACGAACCTGGACTACGCTTGGATGATGAGAAGATTGGGTACGGTTGTTTTTGTAATAATTGTGCATTGTAATTGCTTATTGGTAATTTATGGATAATGTGTTAAGTCAATTGTTATATGTTGTATGGAACCACTGCTGTTTCTACTGTTTTACTGTTTGTGAACCGCTGTGAGTCGCCTTCGGGCTTGAGATACAGCGGTATATAAGCAAAGTAAATAAATATATATATAATGGACTGACCTTGAAGGAGCTGGGGGTGGTGACGGCCCACAGGGAGCTCTGGCTTGGACTGGTCCATGAAGTCACGAAGAGTTGGAAATGACTGAACGAATAAACAACAACAATAATATATATCACATTATATCATAATTCATATAATATACATTAATATATTATAGATTATATATTAATATAATAAAACATAATATTAATATGTAATATATAATATATATGCCTACCTACCTCTAATGTAATTATAATATATATTATAACATAATTTATACAATATACTATAGATTATATATTAATATAATAAAACATAATATTAGTATGTAATACATAATATATATGCATAATATATAATTGTACATTATATAATATATATCAAATTATATCATAATTTATATAATATACATTAATATATTATAGATTATATATTAATATAATAAAACATAATATTAGTATATAATATATATGCATAATATATAATTGTACATTATATAATATCACATTATATCATAATTAATATAATATACATTAATATATTATAGATTATATATTAATATAATGAAACATAATATTAGTATATAATATATAATATACATATGCCTATCTATCTCTAATGTAATATATATAACATAAATTATAACATAATTTATATAATATGCATTAATATACTATAGATTATATATTAATATAATAAAACATAATATTAGTATATAATATATAATATATATGCATACTATATAATTGTAATTATATAATATATATCACATTAAATAATAATAAATAATAAATAAAATAATAATAAAAATAATTATATCATAATTCATACAACATACATTAATATATTATAGATTATATATTCATATAATAAAACATAATATTAGTATATAATATATAATATACATATGCCTATCTATCTATCTCTAATGTAATATATATAACATATAACACAATTTATATAATATACATTAATAGATTATAGATTATATATCAATATAATAAAACATAATATTAGTATATAATATAGATGTATAATATATAATTATACAATAAGGTAAAGGTAGTCCCCTGACTTTAAGTCCAGTCATGTCTGACTCTGGGGTGTGGTGCTCATCTCCATTTCTAAGCCGAAGAGCCGGCGTTGTCCGTAGACACCTCCAAGGTCATGTGGCCGGCATGACTGCATGGAGCGCCGTTACCTTCCCGCCGGAGCGGTACCTATTGATCTACTCACATTTGCATGTTTTCGAACTGCTAGGTTGGCAGAAGCTAGGGCTGACAGTGGAAGCTCACGCCGCTCCCTGGAATCGAACCTGAGACCTTTAGGTCAACAAGCTCAGCAGCTCAGTGCTTTAACCCAATATAATAAAACACAATATTCGTATATAATATATAATATATATGCATAATATATAATTGTACATTATATAATATATATCACATTATATAATTCATATAACATACATTATTATATTATATATCATATATTAATATAATAAAACATAATATTAGTATAAATATATTAAATGCATAATATATAATTGTACATTGTATAATATATATCCGGGAAGAGGCGGATGAGCTCCCTCTATCAGCTCCAGCTCCTCGTGCGGGGACATGAGAGAAGCCTCCCACAAGGATGATAAAAACATCAAATCATCCGGGCGTCCCCTGGGCAACTTCCTTGCAGATGGCCAATTCTCTCACACCAGGAGTCACTCCTGACACGACAAAAAAAAATATCACATTATATTGTATAATTATATATTCTTCATATATATTATATATTATATACTAATATTAGGTTTTATTATATTAATATATAATCTATAATATGTATTAATATATAATATGTATGTAGAATATATAATTATATAATATAATGTGATATATATTATATAATGTACAATTATATATTATGCATATATTATACATTATGCATATATATTATTTATTATATAATATATACTAATATTATGTTTTATTATATTAATATATAATCTATAATATATTTTTGTTGTTGCTGCTGTTCATTCGTCCAGTTGCTTCCGACTCTTCGTGACCTCATGGACCAGCCCACGCCAGAGCTCCCTGTCGGCCGTCACCACCCCCTGCTCCTTCAAGGTCAATCAAGGATGCCATCCATCCATATATCACAATGTGATATATATTATATAATGTGTAATTATATATTATGCATATATATTATATATTATGCTGGAGAAAATGGAAGGAAAAAGGAAGAAGGGGCAAGATGGATGGATGGCATCCTTGAAGTGATTGGCTTGACCTTGAAGGAGCTGGGGGTGGTGACGGCCGACAGGGAGCTCTGGCGTGGGCTGGTCCATGAGGTCGCGAAGGGTTGGAAACGACTGAACAAATGAACAACGAAATTATATATGATATAATATATACTAATATTATATTTTAATATATTAATATATACTTACTTATATCTTAATATATATTATATAAATTATAATGTGATATATATTATATCATATATGTGGTTGTTGTTCATTCGTTCTATCATTTCCAACTCTTCGTGACTTCACGGACCAGTCCACACCAGAGCTCCCTGTCAGCCATCACCACCCCCAGCTCCTTCAAGGTCAATCCAGTCACTCGTATATCATATATACGAATATTATATTTTACTATATTAATATATATTCATATTAATCTATATTAGATATATCCAGTCAATCGTATATCATTTATATGAATATTATATTTTACTATATTAATATATAGTCATATTAATGTATATTATATAAGTGATGACATCTCAGCCACATATATTACTCTGTGTGTGTGTGTGTGTGTATGCACGGCAAGGGAAAAAGAATTGGCAGTGCAATATATATGTGTGTGTGTGCGTGCGTGTGTTTGTGTAATTAATTATATATTAATTGCCGATGACACTTCCACATGGAATCTATCGTATAGTTTAAGAATACTTTATTAATGTATTCTTAAATTAATGTAAATTATATTAATGTAGATTAATGATAATTTATTAATGTCGTAACAGTAATGCCTGGAGCGCCCCAATATATATGCATACAGATATATTGATAACATAAATTATTCTATTATTATCAGTAATAACAGTAATAAGAGAAGATGCTCCTGGTTAATATAATAATATATAATAATGCATTATTATATATATGTTATTGGTAAATATATATGTGTGTGTGTGTGCGCGCGTTTGTGTAATTATATATTAATCGCCGATGACACTTCCGCATGGAATCTATTGTATAGTTTAAGATTACTTTATTAATTATAATTAATATAATTGGCAATATATGTGTGTGTGTGTGCGCGCGTGTTTGTGTAATTATATATTAATTGCCTATGACACTTCCGCATGGAATCTATTGTATAGTTTAAGATTACTTTATTAATTATAATTAATATAATTGGCAATATATGTGTGTGTGTGTGTGCGCGCGTTTGTGTAATTATATATTAATTGCCTATGACACTTCCGCATGGAATCTATTGTATAGTTTAAGATTACTTTATTAATTATAATTAATATAATTGGCAATATATGTGTGTGTGTGTGTGCGCGCGTTTGTGTAATTATATATTAATTGCCTATGACACTTCCGCATGGAATCTATTGTATAGTTTAAGATTACTTTATTAATTATAATTAATATAATTGGCAATATATGTGTGTGTGTGTGTGCGCGCGTTTGTGTAATTATATATTAATTGCCTATGACACTTCCGCATGGAATCTATTGTATAGTTTAAGATTACTTTATTAATTATAATTAATATAATTGGCAATATATGTGTGTGTGTGTGTGCGCGCGTTTGTGTAATTATATATTAATTGCCTATGACACTTCCGCATGGAATCTATTGTATAGTTTAAGATTACTTTATTAATTATAATTAATATAATTGGCAATATATGTGTGTGTGTGTGCGCGCGTGTTTGTGTAATTATATATTAATCGCCGATGACACTTCCGCATGGAATCTATTGTATAATTTAAGAATACTTTATTCATGTATTCTAATGTAAATTATATTAATGTTAATTAATGGTAATTTATTAATTTCGTAATAGTAATGCCTGGATCTCCCCCAATATATATGCACACAGATATATTGATAACATAAATTATTGTATTATTATCAGTAATAACAGTAATAGAGAAGATGCTCCTGGTTAATATAATAATATATAATATAATACATTATTGTATATATTATATATTATATTATACATTATTATATATTATATATATATATATTATACATTATTATATATTATATATATATATTATAATACATTACAATATATTATATTATATATATTATAATACATTATTATATATTATATTATACATATATATTATACATTATTATATATTATATATATTATTACACATTATTATATATATATATTATTTTTATTTATATATATATATATATATATATATACACACACACACACAATTATATATTATATAATTATTGGTAAATAATATATGGTATATAAATAATATGTATTTGTGTAATTATATATTAATTGCCAATGATAGCTGATGCCCTTCAAATATTTTGATATTCTTAAAATATCAAAATAATGTAAGAATATTGTGATAATGTATTAATGTCATAACAGGAATGCCTCCATCGCCCCCTGTTGGCCATGAGAGGGCGCTGCAGGCAATGTGGAAGGAGAGCCGGAAGTTCCATCCACTCTAGGCTCTCCCTGTCTTCTCGGCTCCTCCCATCGGAAGCATTGGCACTCTTCCCTGATCTTCTTGGCCACGCCTTCTCCCCCCGCCGTGCCTATGGCGCAGGGGGGAAGGCGCTCCTGTTGTGCCACAGCGCCACCTGCAGACCGGAGGGGGAGTGTCAACCCAATCTATGAAACTATATTAGCTTGCTTGTTGTAGGTTCTTTTTCTGGCTATCTGGCCATGTTCTAGAGGCATTCTCTCCTGACGTTTCGCCTGCATGTATGGCAAGCATCCTCAGAGATAGTGAGTCTATTGGAACTAGGAAACTGGGTTTATATATCTGTGGAATGGCCAGGGTGGGACAAAGAACTCTTGTCTGTTGGAGCTAGGTGTGAATGTTTCAACTGACCACCTTGATTAGCATTTGCTAGCCTGGCAGGGCCTGGGGCAATCTTTTGTTGAGAGGTGATTAGATGTCCTTGATTGTTTCCTCTCTGTTGTTGTTATGATATAAATTAATAAGGATGATAAAATTAATAATAATAAATACTGGCTACCAGTATTAAAAAAACTCTAACATTAAAACAGCAGAGGGAAAACAATCAGGGACATCTAATCACCTCTCAACAAAAGATTGCCCCAGGCACTGCCTGGCCATCAAATGCTAATCAAGGTGGTCATTTGAAACATTCACACCTAGCTCCAGCAGGAAAGACTCCTTTGTACTGACCACCAACTAGGAAAGGGGGTTTATATATCTGTGGAATGACCAGGGTGGGACAAAGGACTCTTGTCTGTTGGAGCTAGGTGTGAATGTTTCAACTGACCACCTTGATTAGCATTTGAAATGAACAAAATCTGATTACCAGTATTAAAAAAACTCTAAAATTTCAACAGCAAAACAACAGAGGGGAAACAATCAGGCACCTCTAATCACCTCTCAACAAAAGATTCCCAGGCACTGCCAGGCCATCAAATGCTAATCAAGGTGGTCAGTTGAAACATTCACACCTAGCTCCAGCAGACAAGAGTCCTTTGTCCCACCCTGGTCATTCCACAGATATATAAACACTTTTTCCTAGTTGCGAAGAACTCTTGTCTGCTGGAGCTAGGTGTGAATGTTTCAACTGACCACCTTGATTAGCATTTGATGGCCTGGCAGTGTCTGGGGCAATCTTTTGTTGAGAGGTGATTAGATGTCCTTGATTGTTTCCTCTCTGTTGTTTTGCTTCTTGTAATTTTAGAGATTTTTTAATACTGGTAGCCAGATTTTGTTACAACAGCAAAATTACGACATCAAAACAACAGAGAGGAAACAATCAAAGAAATCTAATCACTCTCAACAAAAGATTGCCCCAGGCACCAACAAGCCACACCAAACAACTGCCAGGCCATCAAATGCTAATCAAGGTGGTCAGTTGAAACATTCACACCTAGCTCCAGCAGACAAGAGTCCTTTGTCCCACCCTGGTCATTCCACAGATATATAAACCCTTTTTCCTAGTTCCAACAGACCTCACTACCTCTGAGGATGCTTGCCATAGATGCAGGCAAAACGTCAGGAGAGAATGCCTCTAGAACATGGCCATATAGCCCGAAAAAAACCTACAACAACCCATATTAACTTGGCTGAAGGCTATGTGTTTTGGGGATTTGTAGATTTGTGTCAGGGCGGTTGAAGTGGTATCAAAGTGCATCAACTCTCCAGCGTAGATAAGAAAAACACCGACAAGGAAGTCCTGACACGTTTACCATTCAGAGATAACACACACAGATAAAAATATACGTATATATATAAACCGTGTTTTCAGTAAACATACAGAGAAGTCACAAAAATGGATCTCCAGCAAAGACTGGCTTGATAGAGGAGTCATTATTCGTGAGATAATTAATAGGAATCTGCAGGATGCTGGGATGTGTAGTCCGACACTGAGAGGCTGCTGCCATTGCACTGACTTCATAGAATCCTAGAGTTTGGAGGGACCCCCAAAGGCCATCCAGTCCAGCCCCCTTCTAACTAGACAGGAAGGTACCATCAAAACCCTCCCAACAGATGGCCAGCCTGACTCTGAAACCTCCTTAGATCCATAAAAGACCCGAAGATGGTTGCCTCAACAGGGATGCTCCTTTCTTTGGATTCCCAGAGTTATCTGGATGCTGGGACGTGTAGTCCCAAACCCAAATGGGATCCTTCCTTTCCTTGAATGGCCAGAATGAGATGGATGCTGGGATATGTAGTACAAAAAACATCTAGGCATTTATGGGAAAGATACCCAAAGGGGTTGCCTTGACATGGAAGCACCTTTCTGGGATTCCCAGTTAGGTGGATGCTGGGAAGTGTGGGATGTGTAGTCCAAATAGGGCCTTGATGGGAAAGACAACAAAGAGTTGCCTTGATGCAGAAGCACCTCCCTTGGATTCCCAGAACAACATGGGATGCTGGGAAACGCAGTTTGAAACACAAAAGTATGCCCTTATTGAGATAGGTTCTTTCTGGGATTCCCAGTTAGCTGGATGATGGGAAGTGTGGTCCAAAACACAAAGGTATGCTTTTATCAGGAGAGGTTCTTTCTGGGATCCCCCGAGTTAGCTGGATGATGGGAAGTGCAGTGCAAAACACAAGGCCTGCTTTTATTGGGATTTGTCCTTTCTGGGATTCCCAGTTACCTGGATGATGGGAAGTGCAGTCTGAAACACAAAAGGTCTGCCTTTATTGGGATTCCCAGAGTTAGCTGGATGATGAGAAGTGCAGTCCAAAACACACATTCCTGCCTTTATTGGGATTCCCAGAGTTAGCTGGATGATGGGAAGTGCAGTCCAAAACACACATTCCTGCCTTTATTGGGATTTGTCCTTTCTGGGATTCCCAGTTACCTGGATGGGATGTGCAATCCAAAACACAAAGTCCTGCCTTTATTGGGATCCCCCGAGTTAGCTGGATGATGGGAACTGCTGTCCGAAACACAAAGGCCTGCCTTTATTGGGATCCCCAGAGTTAGCTGGATGATGGGAAGTGCAGTCTGAAATGCAAAGGTCTGCCTTTATTGGGATTTGTCCTTTCTGGGATTCCCGGTTACCTGGATGATGGAAACTGCAGTCCGAAACACAAAGTCCTGCCTTTATTGGGATTCCCAGAGTTAGCTGGATGATGGGAACTGCAGTCCGAAACAAATGGCCTGCCTTTATTGGAATTGGTCCTTTCTGGTATTCCCAGTTACCTGGATGATGGGATGTGCAGTCCAAAACACAAAGGTCTGCCTTTATTGGGATTCCCAGAGTTAGCTGGATGATGGAAACTGCAGTCCGAAACACAAAGGTCTGCCTTTATTGGGATAGGTCCTTTCTTGGATTTTCAGTTAGCAGGATGATGGGAAGTGCAGTCCAAAACACAAAGGTCTGCCTTTATTGGGATCCCCAGAATGAGCTGGATGATGGGAAGTGAAGTCCGAAACACAAATGGTTACCTTGTTCTTGGGCTTCCTTAGCCCAGGATGCCAAACGTGTCCTCCTGTTGCCGACACTGCAACTCCCAGAATCCCCATTCCAAAGGTGAGGAAAGCCAACTTGATAGGGAAGTCGCTTCCTTCGAATCGGATTGACACTGGGACACGTAGTCCAAAATGGTCACTGTTGTTTCATCCGCCTCCAAACCAAACGCCAGTCTGTGTCCCGGTCATGCCGTGCTGATCTGGCCGACCTCCTTTACGTGGGGTACCTCTCTGGACCGAGGGAGGTCCCCACCATGCTGCCCTGACCGTGATCCTTGACCTGGCGATGGTGGGGTTGGTGTCCCTCTCCGTGGTTGTTGTGGTCGTTGCCGACCCACGGCACAAGCCCTTCGGCCTCATGGAGGCGCTGGTGTCCGACCAGGTGCTGCTTCCGGGTGAAGCTCTTCTGGCACAAGGAGCAGCGGTAAGGCCGCTCTCCGGTGTGGAGCCGGCGGTGCGTGGCCAGGTGCTCCTTGCGGATGAAGGTCTTCCCGCACTCCCCGCAGGAGTAGGGCCGCTCCCCCGTGTGGATCATCTGGTGCCGCAGGAAGTTGGAGTGGTGGTTGAACCCGCGGCCGCACTCCCCGCAGATGTACGACCCGGCTTTGGCGACGGACGAGGAAGCGGCGTGGCTGCGCTGGTGCAAGTGGAGGTTGATCTTCAGCCGGAAGCTTTTCTGGCACTCGCCGCAGGTATGCGGCCGCTCCCCCGAGTGCCAGAGGCGGTGCTTGCTGAGGCTCGACGGGTGCGGGAAGCAGCGCTCGCACTCCGGGCACGGGTACACCTTCGGCGTAGGCGGCAGGATCTCCGACGGGATGGATCTCTCTTCAGCGGGGGTTCTAGGGTGAGTCTGCCGGTGGAGCGCCCGCTGCTCCTCGTAAAGGAAGCTCTTCCCGCACTCAGGGCACACGAACGGGGCCTCGCCGGGCAGTGCCCCTTCCTGGACGATGATGGTGGTGAAGTCGCCAAAGTCGGGGCCCCGTTGGGAGGAATCCTCCTCCGCTGACGGACCCGCAACCAAGTCCTCACCCTCCTCCTCCTCTTCCTCCGGCAGCGCGCTATAAATCACCACGTCTCTGGTCTCCGTATCCGCTTCCGGGGGCGAGCGGGAAAAAGGGGCGTCCTCTGCAGAAGGAAATGGAAAGGAGTGAGACCAAAGCGAGACCAAAGTGGGGTGATAGTAAGAATATGAACTTCCTATTCATATACAATAACGTAGATAGGGTGCATCTAATAATTATAATATTATTATGCTCCAAATAATACTAATACTAATAATACTAATACTAATAATATATACCCTATATGCATATTATTTTATTAGATGCACCCTAACTCCATATTATTGTGCTCCAAATAATAATACTAATACTAATAATAACTCCATGTTAATATATACCCTATATGCATATTATTTTTATTAGATGCACCCTAACTCCATATTATTATGCTCCAAATAATACTAATACTAATAATAACTCCATGTTATTATATACCCTATATGCATATTATTTTTATTAGATGCACCCTAACTCCATATTATTGTGCTCCAAATAATACTAATACTAATTACCTCTCAGCAAAAGATTGCTCCAGGCACTGCTAGGCAATCAAATGCTAATCAAGGTGGTCAGTTGAAACATTCACACCTAGCTCCAGCAGACAAGAGTCCTTTGTCCCACCCTGGTCATTCCAACAGACCTCACTACCTCTGAGGATGCTTGCCATAGATGCAGGCGAAACGTCAGGAGAGAATGCCTCCAGAACATGGCCATATACCCCGAAAAAACCTACAACATCCCAATACTAATACTAATAATAACTCCATGTTATTATATACCCTATATGCATATTATTTTTATTAGATGCACCCTAAACTCCATATTATTATGCTCCAAATAATACTAATACTAATTACCTCTCAACAAAAGTTTGCTCCAGGCACTGCCAGGCCATCAAATGCTAATCAAGGTGGTCAGTTGAAACATTCACACCTAGCTCCAGCAGACAAGAGTCCTTTGTCCCACCCTGGTCATTCCACAGATATATAAACCCTTTTTCCTAGTTCCAACAGACCTCACAACCTCTGAGGATGCTTGCCATAGATGCAGGTGAAACATCAGGAGAGAATGCCTCCAGAACATGGCCATATAGCCCAAAAAAACCTACAACATCCCAATACTAATACTAATAATAACTCCATGTTATTATATATCCTATATGCATATTATTATTAGACGCACCCTAACTCCATATTATTATGCTCCAAATAATAATAATAATAATAATAATAATAACTCCATGTTATTATATACCCTATATGCATATTATTTTTATTAGATGCACCCTAACTCCATATTATTATGCGCCCAAATAATACTAATACTAATTACCTCTCAACAAAAGATTGCTCCAGGCACTGCCAGGCAATGAAATGCTAATCAAGGTGGTCAGTTGAAACATTCACACCTAGCTCCAGCAGACAAGAGTCCTTTGTCCCACCCTGGTCATTCCACAGATATATAAACCCTTTTTCCTAGTTCCAACAGACCTCACTACCTCTGAGGATGCTTGCCATAGATGCAGGTGAAACGTCAGGAGAGAATGCCTCTAGAACATGGCCATATAGCCCGAAAAAACCTACAACAACCCAATACTAATACTAATAATAACTCCATGTTATTATATATCTTATATGCATATTATTATTAGACGCACCCTAACTCCATATTATTATGCTCTAAATAATAATAATAATAATACTAATATTAATAATAACTCCATGTTATTATATACCCTAAATGCATATTATTTTATTAGATGCACCCTAAACTTCATATTATTATGCACCCAAATAATACTAATACTAATTACCTCTCAACAAAAGATTGCTCCAGGCACTGCCAGGCAATCAAATGCTAATCAAGGTGGTCAGCTGAAACATTCACACCTAGCTCCAACAGACAAGAGTCCTTTGTCCCACCCTGGTCATTCCAACAGACCTCACTACCTCTGAGGATGCTTGCCATAGATGCAGGCGAAACGTCAGGAGAGAATGCCTCCAGAACATGGCCATATAGCCCGAAAAAACCTACAACATCCCAATAATACTAATACTAAAAATAACTCCATGTTATTATACATCCTATATGCATATTATTATTAGACGCACCCTAACTCCATATTATTATGCTCCAAATAATACTAATACTAATAATAACTCCATGTTATTATATACCCTATATGCATATTATTTTTATTAGATGCACCCTAACTCCATATTATTATGCTCCCAAATAATAATAATAATAATAATAATAATAATAATAATAACTCAATGCTATTATATACCCTATAGGCATATTATTTTTATTAGATGCACCCTATTATTATGCTCCAAATAATATGCTCCAAACCCTATTATTATGCTCCAAATAATACTAATAGTAATAATAACTCAATGCTATTATATAATAATAGTTATATAATAGCATTGAGTTATTATTAGTATTATAGAATTATATATTATAGAATTATAATAATTTCAGGTACATAATAATGTAGACTTAGGGTGCATCAAATAATAATATGGTCTTAAGAGTACATAATAACATATCTGCAACTCAGGGTGCATCAAATAACAACAGCAGCAGCAGGAATTTAGGGTGCAGCAGGACTTTTTGGGCAGAGACGGTTGAAGATCTTGCAAAACTACAACTCCCAAGATCCCCTTGCAAGGAGCCATAGCAATTCAAGTGACGTCAAACTGCATTAACTCTACAGTGCAGATGCACCCAAATATTTGCAGAAAGAGAAGGGAGACCTTACCGGGGTTGTTGTTGGCTGCCATGGCTCTCCTTTCGGCCGCATCCCACTTTTCCACCATCGAAGGAACAATTTCCCTTTGGATCAATGTGACCATGTTTTCGTTCACAGTTGCTGGGAATTCTGCCAATTCGTAAGGAAGCGGAGAACGCGTGCAGGTTTATTCTTTCTCCCTTGTTTTTAGAATTAAAATATTGACATCCCATCCCAATAACACAAAATCTTTGCAAAGCGTGTGTAGTGAAATTGCTACTCTATGTTAAAGTTTTGGTGTATAGCTCTATGTTTACATATGGCAGATAAGGGAGAATAGGCACAGACAGGGTAGCAACAGCAGAGATAGGATTCATTTGCATATGTGAAGCCGATTGGTCATATGCAGATTAGTGTAGTCCCAGGATTTGAAAAGGCTGCTAAGTCAAAATGACAGTTGGGGAGAGCAGAGCTGAACATTCCAAAGGGGCGGAGCCAAGGTTCTGAAAGAGGCAGTTAGAGAGTGAGGGAGTTTGAAAATGGCAGTTAGGAATCTGTGTGTGAAGAGGAGAGTTGGTTTTTGAGTGCCTGATAGAAATCAGCAGTTATGAAGATGTGTTAAAGACTTCTGATATAGAGAAGCAGTTAGTTAAATAGAGCTCGAGTTTTAAGGAACATAAAGAAGGCTAGTGTTGCCTTAGGTCAGAATATAATTCAGCCAAGAGTGTGTAAAGCAAGTAACATGTTTGTGAATGTGAAACATTGATAGTTTATTCAGAAAAGTCAACCAAGTAAATGATACTGACTGTAAGCCTCAAGATTGCAACAAAACACAAATGTAACCACAAGTGTTGGAGCCAGAAGTTATAAATAAACTGTGTTACTTTGTTATACACAAGAGTGTTTCATTGCCTGTGATATAAAGTACAAAGGTTTAACAGCATACAGAAAGTCCCAGCCAATATAAAAGAAGAAACTGAACTAATATAAGACAGCAAAGTGGTTTTTAAAAGAGGAAATAGTCTCTCTCCCTCACCACAGCGTGCAATGCAAACCAGCTGGAAATAAAAAGTATCAGGGAAAAAAAACCAGTGTGTTGTTTAATTTTTATTTAAATGTATTTAAAACCTGACATTTAATCACCCGAAGGGCCGAAGTTTGCCCAGGTGTTGATGCGTCCTCTGCTCTGACAGGTAGATAACGGTTTCGGAGGGTGAATCTACACTGTTGAATGAAATGCAGTTTGACACCACTTTAAAAGCAATGGCTCAATGCTATGAGATGATGGGAGTTGTAGTTCTGTGAGACCTCGAGCCCCCTCTGGCAAAGAGTGCTGGGTGCCTTGCCAAACTGCAACTCCTATGGTACCAATGCACTGATCAATAAGTGGTTCATTCTACAATGGTAGTAGTAGTACCACTGGGCAACATCCTTGCAGACAGCCAATTCTCTCACACCAGAAGCAACTTGCAGTTTCTCAAGTCGCTCCTGACACGACAAAAAAAAAGTAGTATTATTAGTATTATTATTATTATTTCTTAGAATATTATTGTTGTTATTTAGCTTAGAATATTATTGTTGTTATTTAGCTATGGAACCCTGGGAATTATAGTTCAACAAGGTCTATATAGCCTTCTCTACCTCGCCAAATTACAACTCCCATAGTTGCAATGCACTGAGCAAGTTCAAGTGGTTCCAAGTGGCATGATGATTATGATGACGATTATTATTATTTAAAACACAACAAGATTCGTACACAGTAAACAAGGTCACTCTGCTGACTGTTGTACTGGATCACACATCGAACCCTTCCCAAGTGTCTAGGACTGTGTAATATATTGGCGAATAATACATGCAGATCCCAGTAGGGTGGCCTTTTGCGGATGACAGATCGACATTTTGTCAGCGCTGATTGTTTTTAAGTGTAGGCCAAGGTCTTTAGGCGCTGCACCCAGTGTGCCAATCACCACTGGGACCCCCTTGACTGGCTTGTGTCAGAGTCTTTGCAGTTCGATCTTTAAATCCTCATATAGTTGTTGTTGTTATTTCTTAAAATATTGTTGTTGTTGTTGTTGTTATTCATTAGATGTGACTGATAGCCTCCACTGCTCAATGCTATGGAACCCTGGGAATTGTAGTTCTACAAGGTCTATGTAACCTTCTCTGCCTTGCCGAACTAAAACTCCCATGATTGTGTTGCATGAAGTGGAATCAAACTGCCTTCGTTCCAAAGCACAGGGGAGGCTAGGGACCTTGGGAAACTACAACTCCCAGGGTTCCTTAGCATTGAGCCTTGTCGTTCAAGTGGGGTCAAACTGCATTCATTCTATAGATGCATCTCTCTCTCTCTCTCTCTCTCTCTCTCTCTCTCTCTCTATATATATATATATATATACACAAACACACACACACATATATACATCTACACATATACATATATATCTACACATATAAATACACACACATACATACACATGCACACATGTATATATATCTTGCATGTATATATATCTTGTATCCCGAATTTGTATATATGTATGTATATATATATGTATGTATGTGTGTATGTGTATACATATATATATATACACACACACATACACACATGTACACATACATATATACACACATATATGTATATACACATATACATATATATATACATACACACATACATATATATACATACACACATATACATATATATGTACATACACATATACTTATAAATATATAAACACACACACACATGTATCTATACATACACACACATACATACACATGCACACATATGTGTCTGCATGTATATATATCTTGCATCCTGAATGTGTATATATGTATGTATATATATGTGTGTGTATGTGTATACATATATATATATACACACACATACACACATGTACACATACATATACACACACATATACATATATATACATACACACATACATATATATATACATACACACATATACATATATATGTACATACACGTATACATATATATGTACATACACATATACATATATATGTACATACACATATACATATATACGTATATGCACACACATATATATCTCCTGCATCCCCAATGTAGATGTGCCTCACTCAAGGTCCCATCATCCCCAAACTCACCGGTGCTGACTTCCCTGGCGGCCTCTTCTTCCTCCATAGGACCCCGATCCTCGACACACAACTCCTCCCCGCGTTCGATGCGCGACAACAGCTCTGGCTTGGCAATGGCGTAATCTGGGAAGGAGTCGGAGAGAGACATCGCATGCATCAAACCACAAATCCCAGCATTCTCTATAGCAGGCGTGGGCAAACCTCAGCCTTCTATAGTAAAGCCAATCTGTGTTCCTTCCAAGATATTGAGACTTCAGAAAGTCCTGGGCCATATAGTTTAGCAAGACTATTTCCGGGCAAACTACAAATCCCAGCGTCCTGTACAGCAAAGCCGATATCCATTCCCTCCGAGATATCTGGGACTTTCAGATACTGATGGAAGCTGAGATCCCAAACATTTGAATGACCAAAGTTTCAGAATCAGTGGATTTGAACCCGGATACAAGGAAACTCTAACTCACTGGGTTGGGTTTGTCCTGCTTACCCATGGAGACCAGGGATTCGTAGTTCCCCTTCATGACGTTCTTGTAGAGCTCCCTTTGCCATTCCTCCAGTTTGTCCCATTCCGGCTTGGAGAAGTAGACCGAGACCTCGTCAAACGTCACCTGGAACCGAGGCAAAGAGACCTTGGGAGCCGTAAACATATACACACATACAGGGTGGCATCTACACTCAAAGCTATAGGATCATGGGAGTTGTAGTCTGACACTGCCTTTTGTCTTCTCCGGCCAAAAGTCAGACTACAACTCCCAGCATTCCATGAGCCACGGCTGTTCAAACGTTGCCAAACTGTGTTAATTCTACAGTGTAGATGCACCCAAGGTCTTTCCTCCTTCGCTGCCCGAGAAGGCTGAGGCCTCACCAAACTACAACTCCCAGGACCTCATAGACTTGAGTTAAAGTGGTATCAAGTGGCATTCATTCTGCAGCACATGTTGTCCAACGCAAGGCCCGCAGGCCATATCCGTTCCCACCATGTCATCTAATGTGGCCCTCCTCCAGATTCTGGACTACAACTCCCATATTCCCCAAAGAGAGGATGGGAGTTGTGATACAGCAACACCTGGAAGGCTGCAATTGTTTCTCTTTAGTGAGAATGGGGTTTGCATTGAGGTACAAAGCTTGTGGATAGGATAGGAAACCCCGGAGTTTCGGGGTGCGGTGTTATCTGTACGCAGATGACGTCCAACTCTGTCACTCCTTCCCACCTACTACTAAGGAGGCTGTTCAGGTCCTGAACCGCTGCTTGGCCGCTGTGTCGGACTGGATGAGGGCGAACAAATTGAAACTGAATCCAGATAAGACAGAGGCACTCCTGGTCAGTCGAAAGGCCGAACAGGTCATAGGGTTACAGCCTGTGTTAGACGGGGTTACACTCCCCCTGAAGACGCAGGTTCGCAGCTTGGGTGTGATCCTGGACTCTTCGCTAAGCTTGGAACCCCAAGTTTCGGCAGTGTCCAGGGGAGCATTTGCACAACTCAAACTTGTGCGCCAGTTGCGCCCGTACCTTGGGAAGTCTGACTTGGCTACGGTAGTCCACGCTCTGGTTACATCCCGGATTGATTACTGCAACGCGCTCTACGTGGGGTTGTCCCTAAAGACTGCCCGGAAGCTTCAGATGGTCCAGCGCTCGGCAGCCAGGTTGCTAACGGGAGCGGCACTCAGGGAGCATACCACTCCTCTGCTGAGCCAGCTCCACTGGCTGCCAATCCGCTACCGGGCACAATTCAAGGTGCTGGCTTTAGCCTATAAAGCCCTAAACGGTTCTGGCCCCGCTTACCTCTCCGAACGCATCTCCACCTATGAAACGACCAGAACATTAAGATCGTCTGGGGAGGCCCTGCTCTCGATCCCGCCTGCGTCACAGGTGCGCTTGGCGGGGATGAGAGACAGGGCCTTCTCAGTGGTGGCCCCTCGGCTATGGAATGCCCTACCGGCAGACATCAGACAGGCACCTTCGCTGCTGACGTTTCGGAGAATGGTTAAGACCTGGCTTTATGAACAAGCGTTTGGTTAAGCAGTGCAACCAATCATAGGAAGACGGTAAATGGAACATAGGAATGGCACAAGGATTATGAGAACGGATCTGATTTCAACTGAGGCGTTATGTTATGTCTGTTTTGTTGATCTGTCTTGTTGATTGTTAACTGTTGTGGAGTGATGCTGTTGATCCTGTTTGTTGCATTGTTATGTTTTAATTGCACTGACACTGTTTGATAATTGTACCATGTAAACCGCACTGAGTCGCCTGTTATGGGCTGAAAAATGCGGTATAGAAATAAAGCAAATAAATAAATACCTGACTGCAGAATATACTTTAACCTTTCCTCTTAACCTCAGAGCCAAAAGAGCAGTTGGGGTTGCAATTCCCATCATCCCCAGTCTATACTTTCCTGCTCCCCTTCCTCTTCTGAAGATGAGGAATCCCTAACACATCAACAAGCGACAAATGAACGATGCAGCCCTTTGTCATGACTGTCACATGATCATGACTCACTTAATCATTTTGCTGGTGTGTTATCACATGTCCATTAGAATGGTATTTCACGCAATAGGTTCCTGGCCAATGGACTTCTATCCAGCCAAGAGAAAAAAGGAGCCTTTCCTGCCTTCTTTTATACCCACCTGCTGGCCTGTCATCAGCCAGGGACAAATGAGCAATGCAACCCAGGTTGTGGCGCAATGACCAAGTTGTGGGGCAACTGGTTGGGAATCGGCTGCATTAAAATCACTACATGAGTTCGAAGCCAACCCGGGTCGGAGTAAGCTTCCGACCATTTATCTAGCTTGCTGTCAACCTTTGCAGACCAAAAGACAGTTGCATCTATCAAGTAAGAAATTTAGGTACTGCTTATGCAGGGAGGTTAATTTAATTAATTTATGATGCCATAAAAATCTCCAGCAGCATGCAAAAGAATGAGGAAGTACTCCATCGGTGTCACAAGTGGACAGTGAAGCAACAGCTCCCCCAGTGGCAGGAATTCAAACATACCCTTACTAAGCTGGAAAGTTAAATAGCCTCTGTGTGTCTGTCTATATATGTTGTGTAACTATGGCAGTGGTTCTCAACCTGTGGGTCCCCAGGTGTTTTGGCCTGCAACTCCCAGAAATCCCATGCTGTTTACCAGCTGTTAGGATTTCTGGAAGTTGAACGCCAAAACATCTGGGGACCCACAGGTTGAGAACCACTGATCTATGGCATTGAATGTTTGCCATGTATATGTGTATTGTGATCTGCCACGAGTCCCCTGCAGGATGAAAAGGACAGAATACAAATACTGTAAATAATAAATAAATACATAAACCCTTTGTCACGACTGTCACGTGATCATGACTCACTTAACCATTCTGCAGGTGTGTGATCACATGTCCATTACAACGGTATTTCACACAATACGTTCCCGGCCAATGCACTTCTATCCAACAGTGCAATTTCTCCCAAACAGTCCCAAAACTAGGAATGTGGGGATGTCGTTGTTCTGGCTCACCTTGGGGTCAGCGGTCTTGGCGCCGGGCGGGAGGCGCAGGATCCAGAGGTCTCGATTCTTGAGCAGGTTCTCCATGTTCTCCATGCGCCGCCGGAGCAGCACGTACTCCTGGGCCAGGGTGCGCAGGGCGGCCAGGTGGTGCCCGCACTCGGCTAGGGCCTTCTCCGAGCTCGAGAGCCTCTTCTCGGCCGAGCCGGCCCTCCGCTCCAGTCCCAGCAGTCGCCCCGCCTGCAGGTCCACCTTGCGCTCCACCGCTTGCAGCGCACCCACCACTGTCCACAGCGAGGAGGAGGGTGGCGGCCCCCCGTCCTCCTCCCCTTCCTCCCCTCCGCAGCGGGGCCGGAAGCAGGGGGCCGGCCGGAGGAGGGGGCCCATGCGCCACTCCACGCCCTGCAAGGAACACAAGGGACAAGGGTCAAGGGCAGGATGGCCCAACCAACAGCACTGGAGACAACGGGCTCACACTTCACCCACGGCACTCTATGGGAATGGGCACATCAGTCTGTGCATCTTTCAATAGTATTTCAATATTTCAATAGTTTTAGATCTTCTTTTACTGATGTTGTTAGTTGTCGCTATTATTATTATTACTATATCAGACACCATGTAAATGTCATTCCTGGTTACTTAAGAGTCGTTATTATTGATTAATTTTAATTTAAAGTATTATTTCCTTGGGTTTTTTTTAATTGAGCTGTAGCATCTACTGAGCTGTAGCGCAACCAGGCACTCTGCACATGCTCTTTGGAAAACCACACTACACATGCTCCATAGAACTTGGCAATGTTCTAAGGAAGAGCTTTCCACATATGTTCAATGGAACGGCATTCTGCAATGCTCTAAAGAGCACTCCGCACGTGCTCTATGGAATGGCACTCCGCACGTGCTCTATGGAATGGCACTCTGCACGTGCTCTATGGAATGGCACTCCGCACGTGCTCTATGGAATGGCACTCCGCACGTGCTCTATGGAATGGCACTCTGCACGTGCTCTATGGAATGGCACTCCGCACGTGCTCTATGGAATGGCACTCCGCACGTGCTCTATGGAATGGCACTCTGCACGTGCTCTATGGAATGGCACTCCGCACGTGCTCTATGGAATGGCACTCTGCACGTGCTCTATGGAATGGCACTCTGCAATGTCCTACGGAAGAGCACTCTGCATATTCTGTATGGAAGGGTACTCTGTACCTGCTCTATTGAAAGGCATTCTGCAATATTCTATGGAAGTGCACTCTGCACATGTTCTATGTGGGAGCACTCTGCACGTGTTCTACAGAAGAGCACTCTACACATGCTCAATGGAAGGACATTCTGCAATGTTCTACAGAAGCACACTCTGCACATGCTCAATGGAAGGGCATTCTGCAGTGCTCTAAAGAAGAGCACTCTGCACATGCTCTACTGAATGCCACTCTGCACATGCTCAATGGAAGGGCACTCTGCAATGTTTTATGGAAGCACACTCTGCACATGTTCTATGGAAGGGCACTCTGCACATGCTCAATGGAAGGGCATTCTGCAATGCTCTAAAGAAGCGCACTCTGCACATGCTCTACCGAATGGCACTCCGCACATGCTCTATGGAAGGGCATTCTGCAATGTTCTATGGAAGCACACTCTGCACATGCTCAGTGGAAGGGCATTTTGCATGCTCTAAAGAAGTGCACTCTGCACATGCTGTACCAAATGGCACTCTGCACATGCTCTATGGAAGAGCATTCAGCAATATTCTTTGGAAGGGCGCTCTGCACATGTTCTATATAGAAGGGCACCCTGCACGTTCTATGCAACATTCTACGAAAGAGCACTCTGCACGCGCTCTACGGCAGAGCACACTACACATGCTCTACAGGATAGCACTGCAATGTTCTACGGAAGAGCACTCTGCACATGCTCTATGGAAACGCAATGATGCGCAGCCTTTTTAGAAAACAACTATGAGATGCATGGGCCAACTTGGGCCCTCCCTCCAGGTGTTTTGGACTCCAACTCCCACCATTCCTAACAGCCTGCCGGCTGTTAGGAATGGTGGGAGTTGGAGTCCAAAACACCTGGAGGGAGGGCCCAAGTTGGCCCATGCCTGTCACAGAAGGAGCATGTGCACTCTGCACATGCTCAGAGGCACACTGATCCCTCCACAGAGAAATGGAGGCTGGCCCCTTCTTCTCCCTCTCCCTAAGCCCACTCCCCTTTTTCCTTCCTGCCTTGCTCCCCCTTACCTGGGTGGAAGAAGACCCCCAATCCGCTGCTGCTGCCATGGCCACTCCAAAGAGGAAGAGGAAGGGGAAGAGGAAGAAGGATTGGGAGCAAAGGAGGAAGAGGAGGAGGAAGAAGAGGAAGGCCAGGCTCTGCTCTTAAAGGAACAGGAGGAGGAAAGAGGGAAGGAGAAAGGGAAGGAAGGAGGGATGGAAAGGAAGGAGGGAGGGAGGGAGGGAGGAGGAGCCGCGCACCCGCAGCAAGGACAGCCTCAAGCCCCGCCCCCCAGCCAGGCCCCCAATTCGCCTTGCACTACATATCCCAGCATCCACCCAAAAGAGCAGCTTTGCAGCCCCCTTTCAAGCTTTGCAGGGCTCTTCCAATCAGTCCTAATTGTCATGATAAGATTTCATTATCAGCCTTCCTTCTTAGCTTGGAGTGTGTTCCCCAGCTGTAAAGCACTACCTATCCCATCATTTCCCCCCAAAAAAAACAGTTTTTCAGTCCCCCTTCTAAGCTTTGCAGGGCTCTTCCAATCAATCCTAATGGTCATGGTAAGATTTCATCATCAGCCTTCCTTCTTAGCTTGGAGTGTGTTTCCCAGCTGTAAAGTACTACCTATCCCATCATTCCCCCCCAAAAAACCAGTTTTTCAGTCCCCCTTCGCTTTGCAGTGCTCTTCCAATCAATCCTAATGGTAATGATAAGATTTCATGATTAGCCTTCCTTCTTAGCTTGCAGTGTGTTTTCCCAGCTGTACAGCACTACATATCCCATCATCCCCCCCAAAAGAGCAGTTTTGTAGTCCCCTTCCAAGCTTTGCAGTGCTCTTCCAATCAATCCTAATGGTCATGATAAGATTTCATTATCAGCCTTCTTTCTTAGCTTGGAGTGTTTTCCCAGCTGTACAGCACTACATATCCCATCAACCCCAGCCCCTCCAAGCAGGCAAAGGGGCTTCCAATGATCTTCCAGTGAGATAAGGAAATCAGTCCTAATGGTCAAGATAAAATTTCATCATCACCCTTCCTTCTTGGCCTGAAGTGTGTTTCCCAGCTGTAAAGTACTACCTATCCCATCATCCCCCCCAAAAAAAAAACAACAGTTTTTCAGTCCCCTTCCAAGCTTTGCAGGGCTCTTCCAATCGATCCTAATTGTCATGATAATATTTCATTATCAGCCTTCCTTCTTAGCTTGGAATATGTTTTCCCAGCTGCACAGCACTACATATCCCATCATCCCCAGCCCCTCCAAGCAGGCAAAGGGGCTTTGCAGTGATCTTTAAGGGGATGAGGAAATCAATCCTAATTGTAGTGATAGGATTTCATTATCAGCCTTCCTTCTTAGTTTGGAGTGTGTTTCCCACTGCACAGCACTACATATCCCATTATTTCCAGCCCTTCCAAGCAGGCAAAGGGGCTTTCAGTGATGTTTCAGTGGGATAAGGAGGCTTTGCAGTGATTTTTAAAGGGATAGGAACAATCAATCCTAAAGGTCAAGATAAGATTTCATTATCAGCCTTCCTTCTTAGCTTGGAGTGTGTTTTCCTAGCTGTACAGCACTACCTATCCCATCATCCCCAGCCCCTCCAAGCAGGCAAAGGGGCTTTTGATGATCTTCCAGTGGGATAAGGAAATCAGTCCTAATAGTCAAGGTAAGATTTCATCATTAGCCTTCCTTCTTAGCTTGGAGTGTGTTTTCCTAGCTGTACAGCACTACCTATCCCATCATCCCCAGCCCCTCCAAGCAGGCAAAGGGGCTTTTGATGATCTTCCAGTGGGATAAGGAAATCAGTCCTCACAGTCAAGGTAAAATTTCATCATAAGCCTTCCTTCTTGGTCTGGAGTGTGTTTTTCCAGCACTACATACCCCATCATCCCCAGCCCCTCCAAGCAGGCAGGGAGGCTTTAGAGTAGATTTCCAAGGGATGTGGAAAGAAAGCAATGCTCAAGCTGCAGCCTTCCTTTTCCTGCCTAGGGGTGCACTACATATCCCATCATCTACCAGAAAGGAGCCCCCGGTGGCGCAGTGGGTTAAAGCTCTGTGCCGGCAGGACTGAAGACCGACAGGTCACAGGTTCGACTCCGGGGAGAGGCGGATGAGCTCCCTCTATCAGCTCCAGCTCCTCATGCGGGGACATGAGAGAAGCCTCCCACAAGGATGATAAAAACATCAAATCATCCGGGCGTCCCCTGGGCAACGTCCTTGCAGACGGCCAATTCTCTCACAACAGGAGCGACTTGCAGTTTCTCAGGTCGCTCCTGACACACAAAAAAAAAATCTACCAGAACCCCCAGCTGGGGGTGGGGGGGGGGGAAGGGATTTGCAGTGCTCCTCCAAGGGAGAAGGAATCAAATATTCGTTCTGATAAGGGGGTATCACAAGCATGGGGAAGCTTCGGCCCTCCAGGTGTTTTGAGCCGGCGTTGTCCATAGACACCTCCAAGGTCACGCAGCCAGCATGACTGCATGGCACGCCGTTACCTTCTAGCTTGAGTGGTACCTATTAATAGACTCACATTTGCATGTTTTCGAACTGATAGGTTAGCAGAAGTTGGAGCTAACAGCGGGAGCTCACCCCAGTCCCTGGATTAGAATTGGTAACCTTTCGGTCAGCAAGTTCAGCAGCAAGTTTAACGCACTGCGCTACCAGGGGCTCCAGAGGGAGAAAAGGATATGGTAATATTTGGATGCACGGTGATGGGTGCATGTGCATGTGTGTGAATGCTGAGTAAACATGTATTTGTTTGTTTGTTTGTTTGTTTGTTAACTTCCTACTGACCATTGTGGCCATACTTCTCTGGTGTTTTCCGTCTCCTTCTTGAAATGCTTTGTCCAGAACTGGACGCAGGGTGACCATTCCAGGTGTTCAAAGCAGCAGAAGAGACCGAGAGAGGCTATGACATCTCACAAGGTAAACAATGCTCCTAATGCAGCCTTAAATCCCATTGCACAGTGGCAGATAGGAAGGCCCAGAGAGTTATGGGTTGCCCTCTTTCTCCTCTCTTTGGAAGAACTTTATAATTCCCGCTGGCTTAAGAAAGCACAGAATAGTTTTAAGGATCAATCTCACCCTGGACAGTCTGATAGGTGTTTTGGACTTCAACTCCCATCATTCCTAACAGCCTCAGGCCCCTTCCTTTTCCACCTCAGCTGCTTCGAAAACAGAAGAACGGCCTGCCTTGGAGAGCATGCATGCTCCATCAATATTTAACATTTACCCAAATGATCAGCCACTGCCAGAAGGGAAAGAGAGTTTCATCTACGCTGACGACCGTGCCATCACCACTCAAGCAGTGAGCTTTGAAATGGCAATAGGGGCTGTGATTAGAATGTGGAAGAATGGGTGTTGTGTTTTGCAATTCTACATATATAATGTGTATTGGGGATAGCATGTGCTATTCTAATAATATAATATAATATAATATATATTGTATATACATATAATATTTATAATATTATAATGTAATGCAATATAATACTAATAATAATATATTGCATATACATATATTTATAATATTATAATGTAATGCAATATAATACTACTAATAATATATATTATATTATATATTTATATTACATGTAATATTACTAATATTATTACAATATAATTGGTATACTACAATATAGCAATAATGCTAATAATATGATAATTATATCTTTATATTACAAGTAATATTATGAATAATATTACAATATAATTGGTATACTACAATATAGCAATAATACTAATAATAATATATTATAATTATATATTTATATTACATGTAATATTACTAATAATATTACAATATAATTGGTATACTACAATATAGCAATAATACTAATAATAATATATATTTATATTACATGTAATATTACTAATAATATTACAATATAATTGGTATACTACAATATAGCAATAATACTAATAATAATATATTATAATTATATATTTATATTACATGTAATATTACTAATAATATTACAATATAATTGGTATACTACAATATAGCAATAATACTAATAATAATATGATATAATTATATATTTATATTACATGTAATACTACAATATAATTGATGTAAAGGTAGTCCCCTGACATTAAGTCCAGTCGTGTCTGACTCTGGGGTGTGGTGCTCATCTCCATTTCTAAGCCGAAGAGCCAGCGTTGTCCGTAGACACCTCCAAGGTCATGTGGCCAGCATGACTGCATGGAGCGCCGTTATATAATTGATATAGCAATATTTAAAACTAATATTGTACTATGCTAATAATATAATATAATGTATGTAATATATACCTTGTAAGCTGCTCTGAGTCCCCTTCGGGGTGAGAAGGGCAGCATATAAATTTTGTAAATAAATAAATAAATAATAAATCTATATAAATAAAAATGTAATGTTGGTTTGTGGGATTAAAAGAACTCAAAAACCACTGGACGAATTGACACCAAATTTGGACACAACACACCTAGCAACCCAATGTATGTCCTTCACACAAAAATTGATTTTGTCATTTGGGAGTTGTAGTTGCTGGGATTTATAGTTCACCTACAATCAAAGAGCATTCTGGGCTCCACCAACGATGGAACTGGACCAAACTTGGCACACAGTTCTTCCATGATCAACAGAAAATACTGGAAGGGTTTGGTGGGCAGTGTCCTTTGGTTTTGGGAGTTGTAGTTCACCTACATCCAGAGATCACTGTGGACTCAAACAATGATGGATCTGGACCAAACTCTACATGAATATCCTATTTGCCCAAACTGGTGGAGTTTGGGGCAAATAGAATCTTGACATTTGGGAGTTGTAGTTGCTGGGATTTATAGTTCACCTACAATCAAAGAGCATTCTGAACCCCACCAACGATGGAACTGAACCAAACTTGGCACACAGTTCTCCCGTGACCAACAGAAAATACTAGAAGGGTTTGGTGGGCGTTGACCTTGAGTTTGGGAGTTGTAGTTCACCTACATCCAGGGAGCACTGTGGACTTAAACAATGATGGATCTGGCCCAGACTTGGCATGAATACTCAGTATGCCCAAATGTGAACACTGGTGGAGTTTGGGGAAAATAGAATCTTGACATTTGGGAGTTGTAGTTGCTGGGATTTATAGTTCACCTACAATCACAGAGCATTCTCAACCCAGTTTTGGAGTTGTAATTCACCTACATCCAGGGAGCACTGTGGACTCAAACAATGATGGATCTGGACCAAACTCTGCAAGAATACTCAATATGCCCAAATGAGAACACTGGTGAAGTTTAGGGAAAATAGAATTTTGACATTTGGGAGTTGTAGTTGCTGGGATTTATAGTTCACCTACAATCACAGAGCATCCTGAACTCCACCAATGATAGAATTGGGCCAAACCTCCCACACAGAACCCCCATGAGGGCCACAGCAACGCGTGGCAAGGGACGGCTAGTGATTCTATAATTCTATGTTCTACTTGTGGTCTCCTAGATCCCTTTTTCATGGACTGTTTTCAAGCCATTCTAGATCTGTGCATTTCTCTCTGTTGCGATTTCACCTCCCACCACGGTTCAGGCCTCCCACTCCTCTCCCTGGGAGCCATGTTTCCCACACAGACGACAAGGACGTCAGAAGAGACACACTTGTATTGACAGGTTTTGCAAAATAAAGTGCGACCGAAAGAATACGGAAACCAAAGCCGAAGGCGGCGGCAGACCGAACACCCGACGTCAACACGGAGGAGGAGGAGGAGGAGGAGGAAAGCGGGTTCATCACAGTCACCTCAGCTGACATTTAGCTCAACGACACCGGAATTCATAAGACAGTTCAACCCATATTTACAAGGATGCCTCTTTGCAAATCATAAAAAAGAACGAACACACGTATTGCAACGACAGCAACGTTAGCAGCAGCAAACAACAACAACAACATCAACAACAAGATGACAGCAGCGAAGGGGCCCAGTTCTTGGATGCTTTGGAGTGCATTGGGGTGCGCAAAGTCCGGCTGGGACATCATACGACGGAAACAACACGACAACGGGGTTCTTGGCATTGTTTTGGAAGCAGCCCACGAGGGAGTCTCACCTGGGCGTACCTAGGAGTGCAGCCAAAGGCTTATTCGAACTCAAGGAACCAAAGGTAAGAAGGAAGCCACTCACACGGACACAACGTTACTAACAACAATTAGCGGGGAAACGATGGGTTTGATTTCCGCTCGTGGAAGAGGTGCTTCTCAGGGCGAGGGGCAGCTCAGCCCTTTCAGGAGAGGGTCAGAAGTGGAAGAGAGAGAGAGAGAGAAGGGGGGACTAGTGTATCTGATGCCATAACACCACCTTGTGTGCTCGCTTCCCCCATTCCAGGCCCACTGCTCTGTGCGCATGCATGTTTGTCCTTCTCGGTGTGTTTGCATCTCTGTGTGTGCACATCCACCTCAAGGAGGGCTCAAGGGGCAACCGACCGAGACAGAAGCGTGGAAGTGTGATGCTGAGGCCTACGAGTCCATGCCTAAAGTGGAAAAAGCAGTGACTTATCGCTGCCTCCCTCAAGAAAGTCCGCCAAAGAAACAACACAGCTCAGTTCTCTTTCCAAGTGGAACAAACTCCGGTGTGGCAGGCTCTCCGGAACGCCACGAAAGCCCATCTAAGTGCAAACTGGGCATCGCTTATGTCTAGGCCCGATCCAAGCCCCTCTGTGCGGTGCGGGGGTAAACCAGTGCCGAAGCGTCGCCAAGTCGGAGCCTTCCTTCCTCGTCTTCCCGGCAGGACCAGGGAGGCAAACAGGGTCCACTTTTCCGCGCTCGGCCAACCGTGGGCCCGAGGGGACGCTACGGCTGCTCCTGCTTCAAGCCCAGGAGGCCGGCGGGGCTCCCCAGGGCCAAGTGGTGGTGGTGCGTGGCCGCCATGGGGTTGCGGGTGTGGATTTTCTGGTGGCAGTTCAGGGACTCCTTGTAGCGGAAGTTCTTCCCGCAGGTGGCGCACTGGTAGGGTGTCTCCCCGGTGTGGACGCGCCAGTGCTTGAGGAGGTGGTCCCGCCGGATGAAGCTCTTCCCGCACTCGGTGCACTGGTAAGGCCGCTCGCCCGTGTGGATGCGCTGGTGCCGCACGGCCTTGGAGAGGTCCCGGAAGTCCTTGCCGCAGTAGGTGCAAGTCAGGGGCCCCTCGCCTTTCCCCGTGTGCAGCTTCTGGTGCAGGAGCAGGCTCACCTCCAGCTTGAAGCTCTCCTTGCACTGGCTGCAGGTGTAGGGGCGCTCCACCATGTGGTTTCCCGGGCGTTTCCCGGTCCCTGGGCGCACAGCGGGGCCCCTCTGGGGATCGGGGCGCTTTGGAAGCCGGGCACGGGAGGGAGTCGGGACCCGTGGGAGGAGCGAGGGGGCCGGCCGGGCCTTAGAGCCCCCTCCTGGGTCCAGGGCTGGGTAGCCGCCCCCTCCGCCGTGGCTCTTTTGGTGGCTGGAGAAGAGCTGCTTGTCCAGGAAGCCCTCCCCACACTCGCAGCAGATGTAGGGTCCGGTGTGGGCTTCCGCCGCTAACGTTGAGGTCTCTGCCTTCCTCCCGTCACCCACACAGCGAGCAGAACGTCGCAGGCTGCTTCCCGGAGGCTTCCTTGGAGGAGACACCAAGATGGGCTGGCTCTCGCAAAGCAGCTCCTCGCCCGGGCCTTGGAAAACCTCTGTCCATTTCCTGGGGATCATGCCAGGCAGCTCCAAGCCCTCTGGTTCTTCCTCCAAGAGCTGCGGAGCGCCTGGGAAGAGGAAAGGGGGCAGGAAGGAAAAGAGAGGTTAGTGTTGTGCAGCCTGTCTAGCAGTCCCCTATGCTTGATAAGCTGGAATGCATCCATAGGACCTTAAGTTAGAAGGGCCAGGCTATAGCACGGCTGGTTAATCACCAGAAGCAATATATGACTGCCTGTTGGGACTCAGCCTGTGTTTGTGTTTCAGGATCCTGATGTGGGAAGTGATGGTGCTGAGGCTGTGGGAAATGATGAGGGAAATGATGTTGCCGAGGCTGAGGTCCAAGATGGAGATGGTTTGGTCAATTATTTTCATGCAGACAATGACAGAGAGGCCCCAGTGCAAAGGGCAGTTTCTCATGAGAATATCCCTGCTGGGCCTAGCAATGATGGTTCACTCCCTCTCTCTGTGAGCTCTCAAGATTTGAGTTTGGAAAACAATCTGACACCTGGGAATTTTAATGAGCAGCCAGAAAAGGAGCTGAAGAATAGGTGGCTGGAGATTAGCCAGGATCGGCAACAATCTCAGTATTTACGTCACTCCGAAAGGCTGCGTCTGATAAAGGGAAAATGTGGAGGGAAACGAAACCAATTTCTGAGTTTTGGGATATAAAGTTTGCTTCAAGGGAAAACCTGTCAGATTAGGCATAGTTTGGAAACCAATTTCTTGTGCCATGGAAGTCTTGTTCAAGGGGTCTTGTTTCTGTGAACATTTTTAGCCTTTTGGGTTGTCTGCATCCTGCTTGGTTCCTGCCTGAATTAATACGAGAAATACAGGCAGCGGGGGGCAGCGACAGGAAGCAGGTGGGGAAAAAGACAATGGTTGACTGAAAGGAGGCCTTCAGAAGTTGTCATTCTTCCAGTCATTTGGAAATTAGACTTCAAAATATGATATACCTGTTGATTGTCTGTATTTCCCGTGTCTTGGATTGCCTGTATTTTTCGTGCTTTGGGTTACTACTGTTCATGGACTAAGACTTTTTGGAACCTTCTGATTTTCTTACAAGCATTTATTTCTTCTGGCTATTTACTAAGCTTCAATAAAAGAAGATTTGATTCTTCACTCTTCGTGTGGTGTGTTTTAAGTCAGAGGGCTTCTTCTGGACTTGGATTGCAACACTGCCAACTGGAAGGTGACAAATTTGAAGTCCAAGTCAGATTGAACACCTAACTGTTAAGCCTAGCTTATTGGAGGGAAGGATACTAGAGACAAAGTTGAAGTCCTTTGGCCACCTCATGAGGAGACAGCAAAGCCTAGAGAAGGGAATGATGCTGGGGAAAGTGGAAGGCAAAAGGAAGAGGGGCCGACCAAGGGCAAGATGGATGGATGGCATCCTTGAAGTGACTGGACTGACCTTGAAGGAGCTGGGGGTGGTGACGGCCGACAGGGAGCTCTGGCGTGGGCTGGTCCATGAGGTCACGAAGAGTCGGAGACGACTGAACAAATGAACAACAAAATTGTCCAGTGAATCAACTTTATTAAACAACCTGATTTCGACTGCTGTTCCGGTCCTTGGGATTGAATATCAGAACAGCTGGAAATGGCTGTGATCAGTATATCCTATTTTGAAGTCTAATTTCCAAATCACTCAAAAATGACAACTTCTGAAGACCCCCTTTCAGTCAACAATTGACTTTTTCCCCCACCTGTTCCCTGTCGCTTCCCCCCTCCCCACGTACCTACAGTGGAGTCACCTGGCATCTCTTTTTCCTCCAGGTCCCCCATGCCTTTGACAAGGGACATCTCCTCCTGATCCATCCAGGAACTGTCGTTGAGGGCAGAGATTGGAGAGCCTGTTCCAAGCAGGGAAAGAAGAAAGCAGCTGTGAGTCACCAACCCCAGACAGGTTGTCCAAAGGCCAAATACGAGGGTTGAATGAAAAGTAATGCCTCCACCTGCGTTACTTGGGTTTGGATGGGAATATTTTAATAAATCAAACGCAAAATGCGCTCTTTTTGCATTCCTTGTTCCTTTTGGCGATATTTCCCTTTTTATATGTAACTTTCTTCAATAAACTGTTTTACTACTACTTTTGGATTCCTGGTTGGTGCTAAGGGCAAGGTGCAAAACACCCCGACATGGAGAACCACAGCTCTCCTGTGGTTCACAAGACTGTGCATGTTCAGCAAGAAGGGAACATGTTTTGGGTAAAGCATTTACCAATCTGGGAGCCTCTGTTTTTACTCGAAGGCCCAGATTCTACTCCCAATAAACCAACCAACCAACCTTCCTGTCTCTCTCCCGATACACATGCACCATTCCAGCATTCCCAGCTTGGTTCCTCACCCAGAGCAGAGTCTTTGAGGGGTTCTCTCTCCTCCTGATCTCCAGCGTCGCCTTGTTCAAACCGGGAGAGCAAGTCAGGCTTGGAAATGGCAGCATCTGGGGATGGGCAAAGATCATGCTTAATGGATATCAAAATACTGTTTTATTTGTCAAAAATATTAAAAATTAAGTAAGGTAAAGGTAAAGGTTGTCCCTGACATTAAGTCCAGTCATGTCTGACTCTGGGGTGTGGTGCTCATCTCCATTTCTAAGCCGAAGAGCCAGCGTTGTTCGTAGACACCTCCAAGGTCATGTGGCCGGCATGACTGCATGGAGCGCTGTTACCTTCCCGCCGGAGCGGTACCTATTGATCTACTCACATTTGCATGTTTTCGAACTGCTAGGTTGGCAGAAGCTAGGGCTGACAGTGGAAGCTCACGCCGCTCCCCGGAATCGAACCTGCGACCTTTCAATCAACAAGCTCAGCAGCTCAGTGCCACCGGGTTAATTAAATTAAATTAAATTAAGTAGGTATTTTTAATTACAAAAATATGAATCAAGCACTGAAAGAGTTTGTAGGCCGAAGCCTGTTAGTTAGTGAGCCAAAGCTAGCGATGCCCTGTGGACAGTGAGAAGGCTGAAGCCTGTTAGTGTTTGTTTGCCTCAGTCTGTGTGAGGAGGCTTCTCTGTGAGGTAGGCCCCACAGTGTGAGGTAAGCCTTTGGCTGTGAGAAGGCCAAGTATGAGAGAAGCCTTGTGTGAGAGAAGCTCCAGGTTGAATGCCTCGTGTGTAAAGCTGTGTGTAAAGCTCCTGTGTAAGCTCGATGTGAGAGGAAGCTCTATGAGAGCGAAGCTGTTTATCTGCATGAGGAAGAAGCCCAGCTTGGAAGCAAAGAAGGAAGTATAAAGAACTTTGTTCGTGTTATGGAAATCTTGTTCTTGTAGATAGTTTTTTTTTCTTGTCGTGTCAGGAGCAACTTGAGAAACTGCAAGTCGCTTCTGGTGTGAGAGAATTGGCCGTCTGCAAGGACGTTGCCCAGGGGACATCCGGATGTTTTTGATGTTTATCATCCTTGTGGGAGGCTTCTCTCATGTCCCCGCATGAGGAGCTGGAGCTGATAGAGGGAGCTCATCCACGCTCTCTCCAGATTCGAACCTGCGACCTGTCGGTCTTCAGTCCTGCCGGCACAGGGGTTTAACCCACTGCGCCACCGGGGGCTCCTTTTGTAAATAGTATTTTGTAAATATTTTGTAAATATTTACAAAAATATTTACAAAATATTTACATTTACAAAAATGTAAATATTTACATTTATTGCTATTTACAAAAGCAAAATATTTTACAAAAGCAAAATATTTTACAAAAGCAAAATATTTTACAAAAGCAAAATATTATTTTGCTATAAAGAAAAGCCTCCTAAGGAAGAGATAACACTGGTCTCTGTGTTTTTGTTCCTTTTATCACTTGTGGCTACTGCTGCTGGGTCATGCTGCTGCTGCTAAATTACTCTGTACATTTATGAGGAGGGTCTTTAGTTAATAAGCCCACTCGCCCAACATTATTCTCAGTCTCCGCTTTATTCTCAGTCTCCGCATTATTTGCTCAGCCTCCGCTTCCTGTGGTCCATCTCTGAATCTCTGAGGGGATGAAGAAGATGAAGCAGAGACTCCAACCTGAGACTCCAGGGACTAGTTGCCAATCAAAGCTGAGCAAACGTTGGCCCAAGGGTCTGTGTCAATATGTGGCAGCCTTGTATTTCTGATGTGTGCTTTGGAAGTTCCAGAGCCTCAGAGACCAAACGAAGAAGCAGGTGCTACCTGGCCTGACATACAAACTCTTTGAATCTGGATCAACCTTAAAATCTCTGGCGTAGACACTGAGAACTGGGAAGCCCTGGCCTGTAAGCGTTCCAGCTGGAGGTCAGCTGTGACCAGCAGTGCTGCAGAATTTAAAGAGGTACGAATGGAGGGCGAAAGCGAGAAATGTGCCAAGAGGAAGGTGCTTAAAGCCAGCCCCAACCAGGACAGCCTTCCACCTGGAAACCGATGCCCTCACTGCAGGAGACGATGCAGATCAAGAATAGGGCTCCATAGTCACCTACGGATCCACCCCGGAGGATTATTTTCCTCGGACAATGAGGAATTGCCTAACAGAACGTAAGGGAACAACAGAACATGCAAAGCTCTGCTCTTACCCATGGAGACCACGGCCTTGTAGTTGCACTTCATGATATGCCGGTAGAGGTCCTTCTGCCCTTCGTCCAAACTCCGCCACTCTTGCTCAGAGAAACTGCAGGAGGTGTCGTCAAACAGCAGAGGAACCTGCAATCACAACAGACAGGGAGAGAAGTCATGGCCGTGCTGCAGTCCAGGCAAAACAGATCTGGGAGTCTCAGTAGACAACAATCAACAAATTCATTAAAACAAAACATTAAATAAACAGTAGTTAAAACATGCCAATTAAAATCCGGGTCATTGTCACTTCGAAATTGCTTATGTCTTCTTCATACAAGCTGCTGTTCAATGGTCAAATGCAAGGTCCCACAGCCAAGTCTTGAGTTTCCTTCTAAAGGAGGGAGGTGGCCAGTCTGATGTCTTTGGGGAGGGAATTCCACAGATGGGGAGCTACTGTTAAGAAGGCCCTGTCTCTCATCTCCACCGATCGCGTTTGCGACAGTGGTGAGATCAAGAGCAGGGCCTCTCCAGATGATCTTAATCTTCATGATGATTCATAGTAGGAGATATGTTTGGACATGTCATCTGGGCCAGAACCATTTACAGCTTTAAATACTGACTCCGGAAGGTGTCCAGAGGAGGGCCACTAAAAGAATCAAAGATCTGGAGACCATAAATCCCTCAGAGGAGTGGCTTAAAGAGCCAGGTCTGTTTAGCTTGGAGAAAAGAAGGCTGAGAGAAGGAGAGATGTTTGAATATTTGAGAGGTTGGCCTAAGGAAGAGGGAGCAGGCTTCCTTTCTGCTGGTGATTGTGCTTTCCTGCCTGGCATATTGAGGCTCGACTACATGGCTCTTGCAGTCTCTTCAAACTCTATGATTCTATGATCCTCCATAAGACTTGCAACCTGAGCCTGGAGTTGCTGATGAATTATTACTAATACTACTATTACTACCACCACCAGTACTATTACTGCTACAGTTGACTCTCCACTATAGAGTATTATAGAATCATAGAGTTGGAAGAGACCTGGTGGGCCATCCAGTCCAACCTCATTCTGCCAAGAAGCAGGAAAATTACATTCAAAGCACATCCAACAGATGGCCATCCAACATCTGTTTAAAAGCTCCCAAAGAAGGAGCCTCCACCACACTCCGGGGCAGAGAGTTCCACTGCTGAACAGCTCTCACAGTCAGGAAGGTCTTCCTCATGTTCAGATGGAATCTACTTTCCTGTAGTTTGAAGCCATTGTTCCACTGCATCCTAGTCTTCAGGGCATCAGAAAACAAGCTCCCTCCCTCCTCCCTGTGACTTCCCCTCACATATTTACACATGGCTATCATATCTCCTCTCAGCCTTCTCTTCTTCAGGCTAAACAGGCCCAGCTTCTTAAGCCGCTCCTCATAGGGCTTGTTCTCCAGGCCCTGGATCCTTTTAGTTGCCCTCCTCTGGACACTTTCCAGCTTGTCAATATCTCTCTTCAATTGTGGTGCCCAGAATTGGACACAGTGGTCTAACCAAGGCAGAATAGAGCATGGGGAGCATGACTTCCCTGGATCTAGACACTAAACTCCTCTTGATGCAGGCCAAAATCCCATTGGCTTTTTTTGCCGCCGCATGACATTCTTGGCTCATGTTTAACTGGTTGTCCACGAGGATCCCAAGATCTTTTTCACATGTACTGCTCTTGAGTCACACATCCCCCATTCTGTATCTTTGCATTTCATTTTATTTTTCTGCCTAAGTGGAGTATCTTGCATTTGTCACTGTTGCACTTCATTTTGTTAGTTTTGGTCCATCATTTCTCTAATCTGTGAAGATAGTCTTGAATTCTGCTCCTGTCCTCTGGAATATTGGCTATCCCTCCCAATGTGGTGTCATCTGCAAGCTTGATGATCATGCCTTCTAACCCTTCATCTAAAACAGCATTTCTCAACTTGGGAGTCGGGACCCTTGGAGGGGTCGCCAGGGGGTGTCAGAGGGGTCACCAAAGACCATCGGAAAACACAATATGTTCTGTTGGTCATGGGGGTTCTGTGTGAGAAGTTTGGCCCAGTTCTGTTGTTGGTGGGGTTCAGAATGCTCTTTGAGTGTAGGTGAACTATAAATCCCAGTAACTACTACTCCCAAATGCCAAGGTCTATTTCCCCCAAACTCCACCAGTGTTTACATTTGGGCATATGGAGTATTCGTACCAAGTGTGGTCCAGATCCATCATTGTTTGAGTCCACAGTGCTCTCTGGATGTAGGTGAACTACAACTCTGAAAACTCAAGGTCAGTGCCCACCAAACTCTTCTAGTATTTTCTGTTTGTCATGGAGTTCTGTGTGCTAAAATTGTTTCAATTACATCACTGGTGGAGTTCAGGATGCTCTTTGATTGTAGGTGGACTATAAATCCCAGCAACTACAGCTCCCAAATGACAAAAATCAACTACCAAATGCCAAATTTGGTCCAGTGGATGAAAATACATCCTGCATATCCGATATCTACATTATGACTTGTAGCAGTAGCGAAATTACAGTTATGAAGTAGCAACAAAAATAATGCTATGATTGGGGGTCACCACAACTTGAGGAACGGTATTAAGGGGTAGCGACAATAGGAAGGCTGAGAACCACTGATCTAAAAGAAGCAAAATGCAGCCTTCTGTGGTCAGGGATAAGGCTCTCCAAAGCATGCAAGACCACCTGCCCTGCAATGCACACTCACCTTGGGAGTTTCCCCCTTGGAGCTTGGGGGCAGCCGCAGGATCCAGAAGTTCCGGTTCTTGAGCAGGTTCTCCATGTTCTCCAGCCGGCGCTGGAGCTGCCCGTACTCCTGGATGAGGGTGCCCAGGGCGGCCCACTTGCTCTCCAGCTGGTTCCCAAACTCCACAGCCGTTTTCTCGCAGCCGTCCAGCTTGGTCTCGGCCATCCCCATCCGCCCCTCCAGGCTCATGAGCTGCGCCGCGTAGGAGTCCACCTTGCTCTCCACAGCCTGGATTTCGGCCACCACCGTCAAGGAAAGCTCAGCCGTTTCGGGAAGCGCATCGGCCAAAGGAGGGGCTTCCGGGATGCCCAGGGGCTGCGAGGAGGAAGAGGAGGCCGCCATGGCTTCGGGTCCCACCTCCCACTGGAGAGCCTGTCAGCGCAGACAGAACAATGGAGATGGGGTCAAAGCACAGCACACTTGCCAATCTTGCCACCTGAGGCTTGGAGAAGGTATGCATTATACAGATTATAACTCTTAGCATTCCCGAGTCCTTCTGTAAAAACTCACCTTTTCTGCGAAGGTTATTATGGTAGCCCCCAAATCTTTCCATACCAACATCTAAGTTCATACTGTTGAAATAGAGCAGTGTTTTCTCCCTCTTTGCTCTCTTTCTTGCCTTCTACCTCTTGAGCTTTAAAATCAAAATGAAGTAAATAAATATAAATAAATACTGGGTTGTTGTAGGTTTTCCGGGCTATATGGCTATGTTCTAGAAGCATTCTCTCCTGGCATTTCACCTGCATCTATGGCAGGCATCCTCAGAGGTTGTGAGGTCTGAAGTTGTGACCTCACAACCTCTGAGTAGACCTCACAACCTCTGAGGAGACCTCAGAACCTCTAAGGAGACCTCGCAACCTCTGAAGAAGCCTCGCAACCTCTGAGGAGGCCTCACAACCTCTGAGGAGACCTCACAACCTCTGAGGAGGCCTGACAACCTCTGAAGATGCCTCGTAACTTCTGAGTAGTCCTCACAACCTCTGAGGAGACCTCAGAACCTCTAAGGAGACCTCACAACCTCTAAGGAGAACTCACAACCTCTAAGGAGACCTCACAACCTCTGAGGATAGCCTCACAACCTCTGAGGATGCCTCACAACCTCTGAGGAGACCTCACAACTTCTGAGGATGCCTCACAACCTCTGAGGATGCTTGCCATAGATGCAGGTGAAACGTCAGGAGAGAATGCTTCTAGAACATGGCCACATAGCCCGAAAAACCTACAACAACCCAGTGATTCCAGCCATGAAAGCCTTCGACAATACAAATAAATACTTCTTATAGCAACACCAGAGGAACTCCAAGTGGCCAGCTTCTGGTCTAAGGACAGAAGAACCCTTGGTTCGCTTCTGTTATAATAAATAAATAAATAAATGTTGTGATTTTTTAATGATGTAGTTCAAGTTTGTTGATGTGCTGCAGCTCTCAGTATTCAAGGAAGCCAAGTAGGCTAAGACTGACACGCACTAAGAATAGCTCCTTATTAGCTTTGTTTCTTGCCTCTTTCGATCTAGAAGTGGGCCACGATTTATAGTTGGCCACCATCCTGGTTAAGCAGATAAAACTCATACCTGAGATAATGAATGCTATAATAATTCTTCCCTGGGTCACTTTTCAGCTCAAGAAACAGGCCAAGAGTCCAGGAATACTAAGAAGCTTCATCAGAAAGACATGGAAGGAGATCTGGATTTAGGTCTCGCTCCGTCTCATCAGGGAAAACATTTCAGAGAAATGAAACAGCAGAATGTATTAACCTATTAACAATCCTGAGCTTTCTGCTAGTTTAAGGCCCCCTTCCTCTTCAACTTTCAAGTCCAAAGAGTTTCCAAAGGGAAGGCTAAGCTGCTGAAATATAACATCGTTTGTTTATTCCAAAACATTCCTGCTCAGAAATGGAGGCTTTCAAATGCCAGCATTGGAAGCTGGTGACTTCCCTGTCATTGGGGGCAGCAAATCTGCTCTGGGTTTTAATCCCAATCCAGTTCCCAAGGAGCTGAATGTGTTTCTGTGCACAAGGTTGCCCACCCATGTCGAGGCTTGACTATGTTATTGCTGTTGGTTTTGATGCCTGTTTTATATTTCGTATAATGTTGCTTTATGTTTTTTTAAATTGCTGTTGATTCCCTCTAATGTGCTATGTTTTTAACTCTGTTATATGGGCTTGGCCCCATTTAAGCTGCCCTGAGTCCCTTCGGGAGATGGAGGTGGGTATAAAAATTACTATTATTATTATTATTTTATTGACACAAAAACACAGTATGTCACAGCAAACAAGATCTATATGCTGGATTTCGTATCACAAAATCACAAGTCGAACACTTCCCAAGCGTCTAGGACTGTGTGATGTATTTTTGAATGATGCGCGCAGATCCAAGTAAGGTGGCCTTTTGCAGTTGACAGATTGTGATTTTGTCCATGTTTATTATTTCCAAATGCTGGCTGAGATCTTTGGGCACGGCACCCAGTGCCCCAATGACCACTGGGACCATCCCTGAGCCTTTGCAGTTCGATTTTGAGGTCTTGATAGCGGCTGAGATTTTCCTGTTGTTTTTCCTCAATGCGACTGTCACCCGGTATGACGACATCAATAATCCAGACTTTTTTCTTTTCCACAATTGTGATGTCTGGCATATTGTGTTCCAAAACTTTGTCAGTCTGGATTCGAAAGTCCCACAGTATTTTTGCATGTTCATTTTCCACTACCTTTGCAGGTTTATGATCCCACCAATTCTTTACTGCTGGCAGGTGGTACTTGTGACATAAGTTCCAGTGAATCATTTGGGCCACAGAGTTGTGCCTCTGTTTGTAGTCCATCCGTGAGATTTTCTTGCAACAGCTGAGGAGATGAACCATGGTTTCATCAGCTTCCTTGCACGGTTTGATTTTTCGATCCTGGCCTTAATTGCATTAGTTCTGATGGCTTGCTCCTGGGTTGCAAGAATCAGGCCTTCTTCTGTCTCCTTCTTCAGGGTTCCATTCGTGAGCCATCACCAAGTCTTCTCCTTATCAACTTTTCCTTCAATCTTCTCAAGGAACTGCCCATGTAAGGCTTTGTTGTGCCAGGTGTCAGCTCTGGTTTGGAGTGCAGTTTTCTTGTACTGACTCTTTGCCTGCTGTGCTTTGAGAAGTTTCTGATTATTGACTTCAATTAAAGCAGGTTCTTGGCTTTCCTTGACATATTCTGCCAGGGCATCGTGTTTTTCTTCTTCGACTGCTTGTTTGACTTGTAAAAGTCCTCTGCCCCCAGACTTTCTAGGCAGATAGAGCCGGTCAACATCACTGCGAGGATGTAATGAATTATGAATGGTCATGAGTTTTCTTGTTTTTCTGTCCAAATTGTCCAGTTCTGCCTGTTGTTGTTGTTGTTGTTATTGTATTCCATCACCCTGGATAGTGGTTTGGACTCAAATCCAGAGCAGATTCACAGAAGTAGAAGCGACCAGTGCTGTCAGACATGGCATTGTAAGAACTTAGGAATTATCACTGTTGTCAGAAATAACTCAGTCAAGGTACTCGTCTCTACTGCTTTCTTGTTTATGAAATTTGAGGGTTTGCTCCATTGCATTTCAATATCCCCTTCTGCAACTTTGGGGATTAAAATCCTATCTTTTTGGTTACGGATTGAGGAAAAAGGGATGCAAACAGAAGAGAACGATAGCACAAACTCCCTGGAGATAGATCCAAGACATCCAGGCTTGCTGCAAAGAGTTCCGTAATGTGGAAACGGCCCAAGATTATTCATAGTTTCATGGTGGAAAATAAGACTGCGCATTTGGCTTTGACAGACTGGAAAACTGAAGGTTTTGGAGTAAAGTCGCCCAGAAGATTATTGGTATTATTTCCACTGCGAAGCTCACGAACCACCAACTAAAGGCAACGCAATGAAGTGACGGCTGAAAGTTAAGCCAACACTTACATAAATTCCATACATTTGACTTTCACTGGGAATAGCAGTTCACTCATTAAGCTTGTATCAAGTTACACGACTTGTCCATCTCGGTCCGGTTTTTCCCATTTCAAGATGGCAAAGAGTGAACCCATCTTCCTAAATAATATGAGGCATACGCCTCACCTATTTCTATTTTAACTAGTACAATGACAATGGAGGAAGAGGCTGCAGGACTTGGAAAGAAGAATTTAGTCAATTTCCAATGAGGATGATTTAAAATATTTCTCCCCAAAATTCCTTGATTTTTCCATTTTATATAAGGGATGGCTGAATGAGCTGTCAAAATTTAAAATACAGCTCCATACCTTTATCTTCCAGTAGGCCTACCCAGTCAGTTTTTAACTACATGTTTTAATGTGTACAGAAATATGTTTTAAATATGTGTGTTTATGGGGAACAACATCTGTTATAGAACTCCAGTATGCTGATGACAACGTCGTCTGTGCGCATTCAGAAGAAGTCCTACAAGCCACTCTAAACACCTTCGCAGAAGCATACGAGAAGCTCGGCCTGTCATTGAACATTGAGAAAACCAAAGTGCTCTTCCAGCAGTCACCAGCCAATCCCTCTCCAATGCCAGAGATACAGCTTAATGGTGTAACATTAGAAAATGTTGACCATTTCCGCTACCTTGGCAGCCACCTCTCCACCAAAGTCAACATTGACATTGAAATACAACACCGCCTGAGCTCTGCGAGTGCAGCATTTTTCCGAATGAAGCAGAGTGTGTTTGTGACCGGGACATCCGTAGGGAGACCAAAGTGCTTGTTTATAAAGCTATTGTCCTCCCAACCCTGCTATACACCTGCGAAATGTGGACAGATGTCCATGTACAGATGTCACATGCAACTCCTGGAACGATTCCATCAGTGCTGCTTCCAGAAAATCCTGCAAATCTCTTGGGTCGACAGGCGGACAAGTGTCAGCATGCTGGAAGAAGCAAAGCGGACAAATGTCAACGTGCTGGAAGAAGCAAAGACCACCAGCATTGAAGCGATGGTCCTCCGCCATCAACTCCTGGACCGGCCACGTTGTCCGGATGCCTGACCACCGTCTCCCAAAGCAGTTGCTCTACTAGGAACTCAAGAATGGAAAACGGAATGTTGGTGGACAGGAAAAGAGATTTAAAGATGGGCTCAAAGCCAACCTTAAAAACTCTGGCATAGACACTGAGAACTGGGAAGCCCTGGCCCTTGAGTGCTCCAGTTGGAGGTCAGCTGTGACCAGCAGTGCTGCAGAATTTTACGAGGCACGAATGGATGGTGAAAGAGAGAAATGTGCCAAGAGGAAGGCGCATCAAGCCAACCCTGACCAGGACTGCCTTCCACCTGGAAACCAATGCACTCACTGCAGGAGACGATGCACATCAAGAATAGGGCTCAATAGTCACCTACGGACCCACACTGGAGGATTATCCTACTCGG